TGGTTTTCTTTTTTTGCGTTTTCGCAAATTATTTGCATTTTCGCATGAACCCTCCCCTATATATATATATATATATATATAATATATATATATATATATATATATATATATTAATATATATATATATATATATACTAGGTTAAAACCCGTGGAACCCACGGGTGATAATTTTAAATAGAATTAAAAAATTGACTATATAATAAAGTAATATATTATTAATTTAGAAAAACTTATGCGTTTAATGTTTGTATTTTTTTAATAACTTTGTAATTTGTAAGTATTTAATTACACATGTAAATACCCTATTTTATAAAACGCATGAGTTTGTATGATGCAACATAATATCACTCAGAAAACAAACGCGTGGGTTGTAGAAAAGGTTTATTCTTATTAAACACTTACTTTTGGTGTATGATTCTTATTGAACATATACGGGTTGTAAGATCAACCACACGAGAACGCGTGGGAAGAAAAAAAGTTTGTTGGCTAAAACATCATTTTTCCTATTGTAACTTACCATCCCAATAAATCTATAACTCCCCTGTCTCCATCTTTTTTCTTTCATTATAAGATACCTCTTCCATTTATTTCTTTTTAATAATGATTTTACGAAAAGAAGAATTTCCTTTATAAAATGGCATCATATAATTGTGGATTATTGGTAAATTAAAGATGAGCAACTTTTGCTAATATTTTATAAGTAATCAATATATTAAATGACTATATCTCTAGATTATTGTAAGCGTTTTTATTGCCTTTCGTACCGAATATATAATAAAGATACAAGGGTTTCTCTTATATAAGTTCAGAAATCGACAATATTATAATTATAATATTTTATATAAATAATGGCCTGTAGTATATACAAAACTAACAACATGCTAAGTACTTACTATTCGACTACAATTAAAAAAACTAACTTGATTATTACCAATTTTGCCAGTATCGTCCATTATTAATTAAAAAATATTCAAAGATAATGATATAGTTACATTTAAGTTCCAAACCCACTTGTGCTTTTAATACTTTTTTGTGTTTTCAAATCAGCACACATAATATAACCATCTGCAAAACCAAAAGAAACATTGTCTTCGTAAAAAAAAAATACTCCTTCAAAACATCTCTTAGAAAAAAAATTATAAGAAAGTTAACTTATAAAAAATAAATAAATTATTTGTGTGAACGACTTATAATAAATATGGTACAAAAACTTGACGTCTTTCTAACTTGAGTCATGAACTTTCATTTAAGCATCTATGAGAACCAATTAAAGAGAGTAGCAACAAATCTTAACTTGCATAAAATTTGAAAGAAGAAGCAACAAGACATATATATGCTGAAAATACCCTCCAGCAAGATTGAGACGGATCCAAAGGAAACCACAGTTAAAAAGAAAAATATTATTGATAATTTAAAATTGTAATAAGCAATCAAAGTTTTGTAAAAAATTATTAATTTATAAAGACTTTCATCTGTAAGTTTATTATAAAGTTTATTATATTTGTCATAAATAACTAATATTATATTACTAACTTTCTCTTTTGAAAATACTCCTACTAATTACCATTAGCTATAAAATGACTAGATTCATATAAAAGATAATTCGATACTTATTTATGAAATGTAATATGGTGGAGCCAAGAATGGAAAAACATACCGTCGTCTAAGTTTATTCGTTAACAAACAATATTTTTTGTGGGATCTAATATTTGTTAAAGTTTGTGATTCCATTGATATTATTAGTTGTCTGTTTATTTCGTTGATATAACTCCTAAATCTTCACCCATTGGAATTACTCTTATTCCTAGGTATAAATTAGGAAAACAGGAAATAAGTAATTTATGTATGTACTTCTATGTTCTGTGACTCCTAGCTATTTGTGATCCCATTTTTCTTAATCTCATATATATGACCAAGCTTTAACAAAAAAGAAATGAATTTAATGTAAAAACCTTTTGCAAACAACAATGCCTTAAAAAATACTGTTGAAAGTATAATGCTTTAATATAAAACAAATTAATTTCTTAATGTTGGCAGGGGATTTCCTAAAGTTCATTACTATTGATGGTAGACTGTTTAAACAAATTCATTTTGATCTCTAGCGGATTTCCTAAAATCCAAGACTTACTATTAGGTGTTGTTTTGTCATGGTTTTAATTGCCCTCCCATAAGCTTGCTAGTTGGTAACATCTTTGGGGTTTTATTCGAAGTTCATTGCAAAATTCTAGTGGGTTTACCAAAATTGTTTGCTATAATGGCATATTCTCATGAAGGTTTTAGTTCTGGTGCTATTTTGGTACTCTTTTTGAAGAGATTGCCAAAATTCATTGCCATTTCAAAAGTTTATTGCTATAATGTGTAGAGACGAATAATTGTAATTATTATACCATAGATAGATTGTAATTTAATAAATGATAACAAATGTTTTTCTCAGTGAGCTTATCAGCATTCAAATCCTTACCGGTGACATCTCCCAACTCATAACCAAAACCAAGAAGTAGTGAAAAATGTTCAAGAACATAATTAACAATAGATTTTTACTACCATTCAGTTGCAATTATCTACTACTTTTATACAATATAGAGCTACAACATTTAAGCAAGTAGACCTTGTTCCATTAAACCAAGCCCATTTCATAGTAGTTGTTTAAAGTTAAACCAAAAACCATAAAAATAAATATGTAATAGTTAAAAATAAAATAGCATGGTCAATATGATTAACAAAAAACTTTTTTTTTGTTATTACATGTAATTTGTATTTTTTTACTTAGGGGGACGTTCAAGAATTAGTTCAAAGAGAAATTACCTAAATGCTCCACTAACTGTAGAAGCAATGGGTGCAATACGGCTGAAAAACGCTACTCCAGACCTCCTAGATCATTCATTGATTAGGCATAAATTTCATGGCTGCAACCTACTTTGAAGAAATCAATTAACAGAGATGTTCAAATGAATTTTGTTATTATAATTTGTTTAAGCATATGATATAAGTTATGAAAAATAAGGGTATTCTGGTCAAAATAATACCAATCAAAAGCCTTACATTCATAAAAATGAGATTAAGGGAGACATTAAATGACATAAACATAACATGAACACAAAATACTTTTAGTGTGATAATTTTCATACTCATCATATTCCTAATCAAGTAAATTTGCATACTCGTCACTGTTCTTATTTTTATAGAAAAATGAAGAATTGATTCAAATCTGTCCAGGGTCTGAGAAGTTTGATTGAAGAAGCTCATCATTTTCAAACTTTTCATCTTCCAATTTATATGAACTACGTAAAAAAGTAAAACATGTACTTCAAATTAGAAACTCATCAACATTGTATACACAAAACAATATAGCTTCTTAACGCTTGTATACCTTCCTAATTGTGTATTAATCCATTTAAGTAAACGATCAGAAGTTCTTCCATCTTCAATAGAAACAATTTTACTTTTTTCATCTTTCCCATTCCAGTTACCACCCACAAATTTAGAAGGTGGGCCCCAAAATAGTGAAGGGTAGTGACTAATAGAGAATTTATCGCATAGATTAGTGTTTATCTGTGCTGCCAAACATGGATAAAAAAGGAATTTGTTGCTAATCCATATAATAATTAAGGGACTTAATGAAAATATTAAGAATGAACAAGTGTAACCTTACCTTATTGGCACAATCTACTCGTGTCATTAATATAATCCCTGGATGAAACATCACTGGCTCCATTGAAAAGCCTAGCAACCTTTTCATATTAGGGCTGTGAAATTAAAGCTAAAAGATTAAGCAATGCATCACAAATATTAAGATTGTGAAGAAAACATATAAGTACCCTATAATTTTTGCAAGCTGGACACCTGCAAAGAGTAATAACAGAAACAAATTAGGGTTATAAATGGATAACATTTTTTCAAAACACCCCTGTGGAAGATATAGATTGACTCCAGGGGACAAATTGTTTTCATGAAAGGTATAAATTCAAGAAATTTCTAGGTATAAATAGAGCAAGTGTACTATGGGTATGGAGGAGAAGAAGTGAATCCTTTTGTAACTAAAAAAACAGAATCTTTATAGCCATGAAACTTTAGATATTTCCTTTTAAGGTTTAGACATACTTCAATTTTCTTCTATGACATGACTGTTCATCTCTGTTCTTAATTTCTTTTCTAGCAACAACATCCTGGTAGGACCTAAGAGAAAAATCACTGGGTGAAACAATTGTCCCATAAATTTGTAACGGTATCCATTTGGAATAACAGAGGTTCTGAATTTTTATATTTATGTTTCAATACAGAAATTGTGAAAAGAAGAGACAGAGTAGAGCATAACTTCACGTAAAGGAAATCAAAAAACTGACAGCAGAAAATTCCTCAAAAAATAAAAAGAATGTAAGTGATAAAACGTACATCCACATGCAATGGTATACATTTGAGGATTAGATTAAACTTGAAGGCTTGTAAGAAAACGCAACAGAGGGTTAGGGTTGGTAATCAGGAAGAAGAAAGATGAAGAACATTGGGTGGCTAAATGGAGAAAGTGATTTCTAGGGTTTACGGTTTGATCTAACTTAGAGAGAGATGAATAAATTGAAACCTTGGATCATAAAAAAAAAAGGACTAAGGTGATTCAACCAAAGCAGAAAACAAAAGAATATGAGAGCGTTCCGATTTAAACATTACAATGTTTATGAACTAAAAACAAAAAATGAAATAGAAATCAATAAATTGGAAGCGATGTTAAAGTCTCAAGATGGCTTGGATTACCAGTGGACATTTGAAGTGTAGAAATATACAGGGGCAAGGATGATAATGAAGTAATTCAAACGCCATGTTATGGATGAACATGAAGGTATTCTCCGATTGTTTCTTTTGGGAGTTCTGGTTGCTTCAAACAACGACATGGGGGAGGCGAGCCCTAACCTGAAAAGTGAGACATGCAGCAATAGAAGAAGTAGCGGAACCTGTCGATTGCGGAAACAAAAAAGGCGTGGAATCAACTCACAGAAGTCCAACATAACCCTTCTCATCAAAACATACCTGAAAGAGAGAGGCGAGAGAGAGAGAGAGAGAGAGAGAGAGAAAGAAGAAACAAAAAATCAAAATTTAAGCTTACTTGTACATTCATTTGTTGTCGAAGAAAAAGAGAAGAGAGATAAACCAGATGAAAAGGTGGAGGCGGTGGAGCTTGGTGGTGGTTGATTCAATATTGTAAAGCCTAAATCCAGAGAAAGTTTGTGAGGATTAGGGTTTAGATCAATAGATATGGTGTGATCTTCCTGATTTAATGGGATTATGCTTGATGATCGGTTAAAGATTATATGATTTGCTGATATTATGGGATTGATTGCAATGAGAATTTGAAGAATACACCGAGTTCTACAAGTACCGGGCTTGGACCATGTCTCCCGAACAATCTCAGTACATATGGCGCAAGGCGATTCCACATATCGAGGTCGGAATGGGATCGGTGTATTCTACAACATTTGAGTGGAATGACTACATAAGGGCAAAGTAGGAATTTCACATAGATGATATGAGCGGGAAAAGCAAAGACAGAGGGATTAAGGAGGTGCCACGTGTCATTTAATGTACTGTTTTATTAGAAGAGAATATATATATATATATATATATATATATATATATATATATATATATATATATATATATATATATATATATATACTAGTTTATAACCCGTGGAAACCACGGTTACAAAATTAATTAAATATTCATGATAAAAAATTCAAAATTATTAATCAATTATTTTATATAAAATTTTAAATACATTGTTAATTAAGTGATTTTTTTATTAGTTATGTAAAATTATAATTATTGATTCAAATAAATATATGGAATTAATTTATCATATATTAAACTCTTTTTATTTGTGAACTAATGAAAACAATAATATAAAATTTAAAATTTAAAATAAAGAATAAATAGATTGACAAATAACATCACATTAATTAGGGGGTTTAATGAATTTAAAATAAATAATTAATAGAATGACAAGTAGCATCATATTAATTAGGAATTCTAATATTATGACACTTGGCAAAATGACTACTCTTTTATTAGTATATATATATATATATATATATATATATATATATATATATATATATATATAATAATGTATCATAAAGTCTTTGCAAAATCAATAAAATCTCTCACTTGTGTTCATCTGTAGATGTAGGCGATCACTCTAATTGTGTGAACTATGTAAATTGATTTTTTTACATTGTTACACTATATGATAAATCATCTATCGTTTGCTCAAAAGTTCTTAAATTCTAACATAAAATCCTTTGGTCTCCAAATTAAAGAAGTTATGCATGTTAGGAAAAAGAAAAAAGTTTTTGTTAAATGGTTTATATTAAACAAATCAAAATTTTCAAATGACTAAAAGATATGATATTATATTAGTAATCAATGACTAGTCATCAAAGAAATATGAAGAGAAATTAAATATCATCCTTCATTTTCTTCAAACATATCTTCTCATCCATATGAAATGTTAAAAAATATTATATTTTGATAAAATTAATAATATTTTAAAACACTTGTAATCATTTTAAATGGAAAGAAAAATAAGTTGGAAAAAAATAAAAGGATATTTAATATCTCAAATTGTAATTTTTTTTGTTAAAGTACCAACAATAAATGTACCATGGAAATACATTCCTAACCAATGAATGATCATCATTAAAGTTTGTTTGTATATTTCTTTCAAAAATTTCCAATATATGTATTTTAGTGCATAATTGTTATTTACTAGCTGTTGACGAAAACATGTAATCGCAAGTATACGAGATCGTACAAGAAATATAGTCGTAAGACCAGATATCGTACCGATAACGACTATCTATCGTAAATGAAGATGAATCAGGTAGTTGTTGGTAAAAATGATTTAATTTGATTAAATTAAGAGAAATAATTTTAAACAAATGAAATAAAATAAAATAAGTCAAGCAACTAATATTTCTAAAACAAACTAAAAGAAAATCAAAAACTCAATACTAAGACCGAAGTGACTGCAGGAAGCAAGCGCTCAAATTGAGATTTCACAGACAAGAGAAAAGCTGGGTTTAGTTGACATTTACGGGTTAATGATTCATCTAATGCCATTAAACACAAATGTAGCAGTAATAAATTTTCTAACAACATCTAAACTTATCAATTACCTCTAGTTACTTGACTAATTTCACTCACCCAAACATGACCCGTGGCAACATGTTCTCGGAAAGAATTGTAACAACTGTTAGATTTCAATTTCTTTTTTTACTCGTTTCCCACCTTGTTTTCTCGCAAGTTTTTCAGTTTCGCATTAAAATCTTCATTATCCTCAAGAATACATTTCAATTCGGTTTCTTTATCTATCAAATTCGCCCTCAACTCATCAACATCTTCTTTCGACTTCCTCAACTCGCCGTTATTGTCCCATGTTTGGTAAGATTTCAAAATTTCGAGTTCAACTTTCAAATGAGTAATCTCTTTGGAACAATTGTTTCAACAATTCACGAACAGCAAGATTACTGCGTAAATTAGCTTGTAGAAAATACTCGATCCAATCCTCTGGTGGAATGCTAGAATCCATGGATAAAACACTAACTAAGTTAACTTTTAGATTAGAAGGTTGATTTCTGTTGATTTCTGGATCCTTGTGAGATATTAGATTAGAAGGTTGATGTTTCAATGAAAGAAGATGAAAATCCAAGAAGCTATTTTTGTTGCCCACCAAGTGTTTTGATAAAATGCCCAAACCAGTTTTTCTCTTGTTGTAGCTTTATTGTTCAAGATAATGTAGTTTGCTTAGTTTGGATGCTTCTTGTGCACACCAACAGTGTGTTAGTGAGCCATTTCCTTTCCTTCCTATTTAAATATTTCTTCATAGCTTAAGCTTCATCTTAAGGCTTGTTCACTTGTATAGCTTCTTCTCCTACCAATAGGGTGTTGAGTGAACACCACACTTATGGGTCTCTTGCAATGCTTACAATGGGTTTCTCGAATGCCTTTAACCTGGTGGATAGATCAGCCTTGCTCCATGAGGTTAAAAGGAAGTGTCCTTCTATTTCTTTGTGGGTGAATTTCTTGTTCGGTTAAATGTGAGACTTTATATCGGAGACCAACATATATGGTTTGCTACTGGGGTGCAGCAAGGCGACCCCACCGGCCTTCTTCTTTTTACCATCGTTTTACACCAACTTGTGCACAAAATTAGAGAAAATTGTAAGCTCCCTCTCCATGCTTGGTATATAGAAGATGAGACTAGCATTGGGGATTTTGAGGAGGTGAGTGTTGAACATTATTCGGGTGAATGGTCTAGGCTTGGGTTTTGAGTTGAACATCAAGAAAACAGAGATTTTCTGGCCCTCATGTGATGGTACGAAGCTTCGTGCCGATTTATTTCCAATGGATATAGGGAGACCTTCTTGTTTGGGTTTTGAGCAATCTGACACTCCTCAGGTGTTCATGCAACCATAAAACCTTGGATCTACGTTTTACTATGAATACATGCAACTTTGATTTTTCCAAGGTTCATAACCTATCTAGCGTGGCATGGGGAACATTAAACATAATGGATAGAAGAAGTACATACCTTTCAATTTGTGAGTTGATTCCTTGAAGTTTAAGAGCCTAGCACCAATAATATGGATGCCTCAAATGGAAATCACAAATCACCACAAACTTGGAAGAACCTTATGAGAGTGTATGCTTGCTTATAGAAATCGACCACCTCTTTGCACACACACAACTAGTGTCATTTCAAGCATCACAAGCTTCTTTATATATTGTGGAGGATTAGGGTTACATCCATGTAAACCCTAATACCCATGACTCTTGCTTTCCAAGGATCCATGGGCTAAAAGCTCCATAGACTATCCATGGACTCCCATGCATGCCAAGCCCATTCCAAATGGGTATTAGCCCACACTTATCTAAATACAAGAGCCCATATTTAATTAGTCACCTTTTTTATCACCAAATTAATTCTAACTTAATTTATGATCAATACTAACTAAATAATATGATTTCATATTAATATATTATAACTTATAATATATTAACAAATTGTAAACATACAATTCTTACATGTATAACCATAAATAGTTCGGGTGAAGTGCAACCCAAATGGACCATGCTGGGTCCGGTCAAGTATATACCAAATAAAGTTATGGACTTAGACACCTTATCCAACACTTCTTTGGGGGTGAAGATCCTTGGGGGCATCGTTACCAAAGATGCAGGTTTTATTAGCGAGATGGCGATGAAGAGAGTGGTCAATACTGTTGATTTGAGGGGTCTTCTTCCACAACTATGTGACCTGAAGAGTGAGCTCATTTTGATTTCATATTAATATATTATAACTTATAATATATTAACAAATCGTAAACATACAATTCTCACAGGTTTAACCATAAATAGTTCGGGTGAAGTGCAACCCAAATGGACCATGTCGGGTCGGGGCAAGTATATACCAAATAAAGTTATGGACTTAGACACCTTATCCAACAGTCTCCCACTTGGATAAGTCTAATAACTATATTTACCTATATTACTTCAGGAACCAACCGGCAATCATAACTCTCAAAACTTTGTTGAACTATGAAGTGTCATTTTAGATAAGTGATCATTTAATCCTCTATTCTAGATATCAGCGGGGAAAATACATGGAACAATGTCTTACTTATTGTCTAGCAGTTTGTTTCTCGATTTCCCGATTTGTTCGACATAGAACTTAACTGAACACATCAACTTAGTTCTGACCGGGCCCGATACACGGGTCAACACAAAATCATCGAGGGGCCCAGATATCGCTTCTAATCCAAGAAGGAACAAATAAACTTCGACTCATATGCTTGTTCTACTACTTGTTGAATTATACACAGAGGCACATTTTATGACATCGAGTTACCAATACATTTACGTACAATCAATGTATAATCAACTCATAGGCAACAAGTCATATCTCTAGGTTTGAAGACTTATATGATATTACCGTCTCACGATAACT